GTGGAAGAGTGGCGGGTACTTGGAAGAATCATTATTTTAGGTATGTAGACAGCATACAACCTGTAAATGAGCATAAATGGTGGGAGGGGGTCGCCAAATATTTATGTTTAGGATAAAGGGGGTCTTGAAAAGGATCACTTTCTTCGTTGGGGGGSCCCTAAAAAAATGGGCGCCTTTTCCAAATTTCTCACCCAGTCCCATCACCCAGTAATAATGAACGGTCCCTAAAACACCAAAATAAATCAAACACGCCTAATATAATCAAATAAGATGCCATCAAAGACATCTAGAGTTTGCCCAATGATAATGCATTTGAAGACATTGGTTTTTATGAAGTACAGTCGTTATTCAAAAAAGGGTCTTTATTTAGTTAATTTATTAGAGGATTTCATAACCCGTAAGTTGTATTAAAAGAGGCAAAAGTTAAAAAAATAAGCAAACAAGAGTGATTACGTCAATCGCGGTCCAGTCGATCTATATTTAAAATCTATCCTTTTCAAGTGAACTCTTTTGGATTGTTTTACTATTAGCTGAATTTGCCTTCTAAGAGACCAGCATCAGCTTAGTCAWAAGCCTAACAAACTCGACTCGCTGGCTTCGACTTATCCGACACTTTTTGAAAATTGATAATCTTTTCCTTGAATTTTTCGTTTTTTGAACTTAAATGAGCTGCTATTTTAAAGAATAGTGCTGATTAACGTGCAAAGCAGAATGGAGCGACGTATAACTAACTGGCTTACCTCTGTATGGGATGTCCACTTGGTCGTCAAAGTATGTAGCACGTTCATCTTGTACAGCATTCTTAGGTTCCTGTGAGATCGTACGATTGTTATGTTCACACAAAGAACCTATTGTGTAGTAGTTAATGCTAAGACAGTCCGTGTTTTTCTTGCAACTCTGAAAACATTCATGGATGCTTGGACTTTGGAAAGAACGTACAGTGAACCCCTGAAGCTTCAACATGGAGATGGAAGATTTGCAGTTGGCATGAACACCGATGATGAGAAGACTGAAGACAGTAAGTACTGATGGCAGGCACATCATGACTTGTCAGTGAACACTAAAAATATATATATCAAAACAATATAAAATATTTGTGGGTAGCAATGAAATAAGGTTTTTTACTACTTTTTGCTGAATTAAGGTATTAGGATACGTTTACGACCACTATGCGCGCAAACTTAAATAACGCGCTGGCTTTATAGTATAACACAAACAAAGTATACATTTTCTGAAAGCT